GAGGGACCCCACGCTGGAGCAGGGGCAGAGTGTGAGGATCCTCCCCTGAGGGGGAAGGAGCTGCAGAGACAAAGTGTGATGGACTGACCACCCATTCCCCGTCCCCCTGCACAGCTGAGGGGGGATGAGGGAGAGAAATGGGGAGCAAAGCTGAGCCCAGGAAGAAGAGAGGGGTGGGGGGAAGGTTTTTCAAGATTTGGTTTTAGTTCTTTTCTACTCGTGTTTGATTGGCCATAAATCCAATTTAATTTTTCCCAAACTGAGTCTGTTTTGCACATGACAGTAATTGGTGACTGATCTCTCCCTGTCCTTATCTCAACCCACAGGTTTTTCATTAAATTTTCTCTCCCCTGTCCATCTGAGGAGGGAGTGATAGAGCGGCTTTGATGAGCACATGGCCTCCAGCCAGGGTCAACCCACCACAGTTTAATGAAGACGTCACACATTCTCTTTCTTTCACTGGGACAAACAGTGAGATTCAGCCTAAGTTATTACGGAATATGGTAGAGGATGAGTTATGGTGAATAATTAGAATACAAGTTACTCCCAGAAGGAAATGGGATGGGGATTGTGGGTGGGGGAGTTTAAATATTAAAAGTCTTACCTCCCCATTCAAGAAACAATAGAGAACAGCAACAACAAAACCCTAGGTAAATAGGAGAGAAAAAGAAATGTAATTCAAATACTTCAGTAAAAGCCAGAAAATAGCTGGAGATAAAACAAACGAACAAACAAAACCAAAAACCTAGTATAGAAAATATATACTTAATTAACCCCACACAGTCTGGAAACTGTGCATGTAAAGTAGTTAAAATGAATACAGATTTCTTTTTAACAAAGGAAAAATTCACTGTATAATCACCTGGAAAGATCCCAGTCCCAATTCAAACACTAGTCTCTCCCGCTTACTGACATTTTCAGGAGAAAAAGCAAACACCGTGTAGTGAATTCCAAACAAGGGGATAAGCAGTAGTGTAGAGCGAGCCAGTCTCCTGTTGTAATAGAGTGAAAGAACTTTAATGCAGCCTTGTAATAAACAACTAGTGCTTTAATTAAAGAAGAACACACAGAAAATATTTTGTTGCCTCCCTTTTGGGAAATACATATACTGTATAATTATACAAACAAATATACAACATTCCCATTTGTTCCCAAACAGTGATTTCACACACGCTGTAGTTTGCTCCCACTTCTTCACACTGCTACAATAATAGCACATTAGTAATGCTTAATACTCTGTACTGTTATTTTAATTTGCATCATTATAAGCAGGGATTTTTTCTACTGTGCCAAACGTGACGGCGATAGTCTTGCTAAGGGATTCAGACTGCTACCATAATACAATAATCAACCTCTCACCCAATTGCTTAATACCAGTGGAGTGTTTGAAATCACATTTGTGTGTGTATGTGAGTTTATTTCTGCATAGCAAAAAAATCCAAAACAGCAATACAAATTAAGCTAACCTCCCCCTGTATTTTCTTATGCTCATGACTATGGATTTGATTTTTACTTGATTTTGGTCTCATTTATACTGTTAGAAACCTAAGTGTAATTTCATGGTGTGACTAATTTCCATTGGATCAGAATTAAGAGATTTTGGAGAGAAATCAAACTCAGTAGGTATGAACAAAAGGGCTTGGAAATGAATATGTGTACCTGTAAGCACTTAAGTGAGCATGGATGAAATTCCCCAAAAGCAGGGATCCATCCAAGATGTACACACCACTTTTGGTCAGTGTCATTTACTGATTCAGCAACAAAAAAGGCTCAAGAGAAAGAAGACGTTGATCTGAAAATAAGGCAAGTGCTTTGTTATAAACAAGTGGCCTACAGTAAGCTCCAGGACATTTTCAAAGAGGAAAATATATGATTGATTTCCTTCAAGTAAGTTAAGGAGGTAGATGGAGGACAAAAGAAGCTAGAAAGCCATACAGATTTTTGGAAAACTGCATGCTTTTTCAAAATCAAATGCTCATTCTGCTATATTACTATGGCATATTGCAAACATGTTTAAATTTTCTAATACATGTTCAACAGTATCCAAAAAATGATGTATTTGCCTTACGGAATGTGGTGACTTAATTAATACACCTCCAAGAACTCTGTGAACATAAGCTGTCATATCCAATACCAAACTGGAAATGGTACGTCATTTCATTGCTGGTGTCCCTCAGACATATTTTGTGCACTAATGGTGATAAACACATCACAACTCTTGCCTTGAGATTGTACAAAACACACAATTCATTTGTCTAAGTCTCAAGTCTTGGTGAAAGACTCTACAAAGCAGAGGACATAGTTCTTGTGAGTTATCAAGTTAGACATTGACCAAAAGGATTTTTTTACCAGACAGGAACAGCCTTAGAACAGGTGGATGAAGAGAATACAAAGTCTCCAAATTTGGTGATCTCTAGAAAAAGTAAGTGATACAGGAGTGATACAGTTACATGGACCTTTCAAAATCCCTTCTAGTCCTTTTTCTCTATGAACATGCAATCAGGTTAATGAAAAGGAACAGAAATGTTGTGGAAAAGATGTAGAATAGTACTATTTTCATTAAAAAAAAAAGTAAAGAATTTGTGTCTTAAACTAGATGTGGAGTAATAAAAAACACCAACCAACCAACCAACAAAAAACCCAAACAAATGAAGGTAATAACCTGGACAAAGAAGTATCATCTCTCAATATCTCTTACCACTTATATTCAGAATTAATGACAACAACAACAAGAGGATAAATGTTATTTTGACTTAAAAGTCAGACTAGACTTGTCTATCAGTATGATGTATCTCACCATGGTCACAGGAAATTAATTTTGAAAAAGAGGATGAGGAAGGCATTTTCTACTGTCAGTTTTCTGGCATTAATTTTATCTGATTAATCACACAGTTTGTAGGATCTTGAAATATAATGCCATCATCAACTTATTTGAGATGCTGTCTTCAATACTGTCATAAAAATCAGGAAGAAAATACATGAATGTAAGAAGTAACACATTCTGATATTTATAGATAATTAAGATCTATGAAGAGGAAAAGAAGATTTTAATTATAAGAAAAATCTTGAGAGATTATTAGTAACTGCATGGATGATGATGAATTGTGTTTTTTCTAGTCCATTAGGAAGAAATAAAACTTAATGCAACACCTGCGAGACATGTAAGTTTATGTGCAGCGGTGAAATGAAGATGTTAAAAAATATAGCAAAGTTCTCAGGAGTGTAACAGCCAAAGATATTCAACCTCTTTCCACACTGGTTCAGTAAGCAAGAAACACAGGGGATGGATCCCAAAGTTTTGAGGACAACAGTGATGCAGTTGGGCTTAAATTGGCTGTTTAGAAGAGAAACGTTCTCCAAAACGTCTAGCAAAACCCTTGTTTACATTTAAACAGGCACAGTAATGTCTTAAAGTTACTTTATTAAAAAGGTAACTGTATTTCAATTTTTGTTGTGGCTGGCATTCTACCTTTCAGCTGTTATTTTCCTTAAAACACTATAACTGTAAGATTTTCTCCAATAGCATGGCTATGAATGTGGCTTTTCCATAAAATGTTAGTACAAAATGACAGAGATAACGGTGTCCTCTGTTTTCCATCCCTCCTCTATGGAATTATGGAAAGATGTCTTTATAGTAAAAGGAACAGAAAGTAGAAAGGTTTTCTTAACTTTGACCAGTATTTGAAGGAATCGATGTCTTTATTTTTTCCATTGCACATCCACATTTATTGAGACTGATGAAGTGTCTATGGATATTGCATTACTGAGTAGAATTTCCAGTGATTTCTACTGAATGTTCTAACATGTTCCTATTCTGAATTTTAAAACAAGTTTCAAGAAGACAAATTAATGCTGTGATCTAAACAAACACATTAACTGTACATCAGACGAAAAAATGATCAATATTTTGAGCAGCTGCGCAATAGAGAACTAGGACCAATGGGTTCTAAATGGTCTAAATAGGTTCTTCCATCTTCTGTAAATGGGATGTTGCAAAGATACATCTCTAGATTCAGAACCTGCAGATACCTCTAGAAGAACTTCTGACCTGGATACATGGTGATGACATTTGGAATGAGTGAAGGAGACCATGAGAAAATATGGGTCCTCAACACCAAGGGGCCTGAAGCTCCAGAAGCAACTGTGTAAGAAACTTTGCAGTTCTTCTTCTTCGTGTCTCTGAGAGAGAGGTGAAATCTGTAGCTTAGAGCTTACTCTCCCAACAGCTCCAGGCATTTCTACTGCACTGAAGATGTGTCTTGTGCCATTTCTTCTGGGACTGTAGCTGCTTCTCTTGGACTAACTGTAAAGTCATATAGCTCAAAAAATCTGTTGTAAATTACATACAATTTGACAGATGACACTCTGTGCCACTAAGGATAAAGTACAGAAACTCTGGCAAAGAGTCTGTTGCCTTGGCCTCAAAGGTTCTCATCACCCAATTTTGAGACCAAATATCACAGACTGTCAAAAGAAGCAAAAGATGTTCAAACCGTAGTCTTTGAAGAAAGACTATTCAGTTGTTTCAATGTTTAAGCCTGTCTCTTTAAGTAAGAGAACTGTACAGTTTAAATGTTGTCTTAAGTGAAATTAAATTGATCAAATATAAACTTCTGCAGTGAAGACCTCAAGGTCTGTGGTACTCATGTAGAACAACAACCTCACCAAGGTTTGGACATACATACCATAGAATTTATTAACAAAATTATTAACATAATATCTCTAAAGCTGATACAGAGAAAAATGCACATTTAAGGCATAGTTCTTGCCTGCTCTAGATGCCTTTTTAAAGAGAGGTGACTCCTGTTGTAAACCCCATCGGTGTGTACTGAATACCTCTATTGAGATATATGTATTGAGTAGCTTAAAGTTATGAGATATTTGCAATGATAACACCTAGTTTTAGTTAAATTAATTCTACACCTACATTCCCATTATTGTCCATGAACGGTAACAGGCACTTAAGCACATGGGAGAATCATCTGTCCCTAAGGAAAGCCTTATCACAACCTACGTCTCTCCATTGACTACAAAGGGAATCTGGCCTGAGTTTGTCATATGAATTGCTGCATTGTATGCTTGTAAAGTTCATATTAGACGAATCCCATGTTTTTGGGTGCAACTGAGAGATGAATATGTACAAACAGTATTTTAGAAGGATAGAGAGCAAACCATCAAGATACAGGATGTCATTAGTGATGAAAAGCTTAATATAGCTAATTTAAAATAAACTAAAGTATCTATTTTATCCAAAAGATGCTAAACAGTTAATGTGTGACTTTCAGAACCTCAGTAATCTCTCTGAAAGACACGTGTCTTTTCCAAAAGCTTCATTAGGTCTGTAGGATCAGTTTTAAGGACCTGAAGTAAACCCTAAACAGAGTAATTGCTTACAGCTTTTTAGTTTTCCCATGCATAAATCACATCTGTGGACTAAGGACTTGAAAATCAGTAGAAACTTACTGAGATTTTCATATTTTAATCCAAAAATGAAGGTTTAATTAGGTTTTTGGAAGTGTATAGAGTTTTTCCTTCTTTCTGAAGGCTGAACTCTTCTTGCCATTGACTAGGTAGAGGATTTCACCTTAGAGAGTTGACAGTCTGCCATCTTTTTCAAACACTTTACTTAATGTGAATTTTGTTTCTTTGCAAAGGCCCGACATAAAGCCTATGTTGCATCAGCTGTAGATCAAGTAGTGAACTTCATATCAAACTATCTCCTTCTAAATGTAGGTTCTAGTTTTACCTAACTGTTCCAAGACTTCAAGCTTTTCTCAATGTAGTATATGGAGATGCTGACTGTTCTTCTATTGTCTATTTCTTATGTATGCTTTTTCAGTCTGTTGACTGAATCTCTTGAGTATCTTCATTGGTCTATTTCTTAAATACCTTGATGTGATATACAATCACAGAGAAAATTTATTTTCATGTTTAGTTTTTTTTTTTTTCCAAGCTAAACAACATAACAAAACATGCATCTTTAAGTTACAAA